ATATATATATATATATGTGTGTGTGTGTGTGTGTTAACAATTATGGTTAGTAGGAAAGTAAAGAACTTGGGGTGATGTTAGTCGCATATGAATCTAAGAAAGATACTAGAAATAATTACCAAAGTAAGTAATTATATAAATGTTTAATAGATGACATGTTTTTATTTTAATTGGATATATAGGTCCCAATTTGGTGATATATTCATAATGGTCCTGTCTTGGGATGTATTCTTATTGGTCCCGTATTTGGGATGCATTCATATTGGTCCCATGTTATGGATGTATTCTTATTGGCCCAAAATGGAGTATTTATTCATATTGGCCCTATATTGGAGATGTATTCTAATGGATCCAAATTAGAGATGTGTTCAGATAGGTCATGTATTATGTAGATAGGTCTTGTATTATGTATGTATTCTTAATGGTCTCAAATATATGATGTATTTATATTGGTTCCATACTAGGAATGTATTCTTATCGGTCCCAAATTAGGGATGTATTCAGATAGTAACGTGTTGGAATGTAATTTTATCGGTCTCGAATTGGGAATGAATTAGTATTGATCCTTTTAATGGGGATGTATTCTTATCGGCCCCAATTTTGGGATGTATTTCTATGGGTCCCCAATGGTGATGTACTTGTAATGGTGGGATGCATCTCAATATGTCACTAAATGGGGATGTATATTTAGGTTGGTCCAAATAGGGATGTACTTATATTAGTCCCGCATGGAGGGGTGTTTGTATTGATTCATTTGATTATAACTGTGTACAACTTACTATAAATACAATCAAAGGGAAGCTACTAATAGTCGCTAAGGACATGATCATGGGTATAACTATGTTGATGTTATGAAGATGATACATTAAGATGTTAGAAGTTGTATATATAAGCGTATACTTGTTACTCACTTGGTTTCTGTGTTGTTAGGTTTGATGATTTCACATACATATACTAGTAGCATGAATAAAGAATGAGAAAATTCATGAAATAACCAAAATTGAGGGGGTGTTTTAAGCATTTAACCATGAAAAATTAATTTTTGGAAAATGACCACGAGATCTGCAGAGGGGGCTCTGCGGATCGCTTTACACCTCTGAGGAACGATAAATAGTTCTGAGGAATTGACGTGACATCACTAAATGACAAAAAATATTGGGGATCCGTAGAGAAATCAATAATTTCGCAAAGTTGTAGCAGAGATCCGCAGAGCCGTCTCTGCGGATCTGTCGGAGAGGACCAACCACCATTTCCTCAGAAAATTTAAAGATTCGCAGATGTGTTTAATGGATCCGTAGAGCCACCTCTGTGGAACCATTATACCCACGATATTTTTTGTCATTTAGTGATGTCACGTCAATTCCTCAGAACTATTCATCGTTCCTCAGAGGTGTAAAGAGATTCGCAGAGCCCCCTCTGCGGATCTCGTGGTCATTTTCCAAAACTCAATTTTTCATGGTTAAATGCTTAAAACATCCCCTCAATTTTGATTATTTTATGAATTTTCTCATAAAGAATTAGTTTACTTTCAAATATAAATATTTTAGTTATTCAACACCTATTGGGGAAACAATACAATTTTCTATCTTAACTATGGTTGTGGATATTGTTTGTATCCATTTATTAGTTTAATGTACATTGCTTATTTGTGTTAAAAGTCTCTTAAAGAATATTTCTTTTTGGATGTACTTAAGACTATAATTTGGGTGTTACATTGTGTGTGATGAATATGTAGTCTACAAATCTAATAATATCTTTATGTTGTTTACCACCAGTCGATTAACATGATCATTTTAATCGTGTGAACCTCTTTAAATCTTTTTGTTCTTGTTTTTTGAATTTCTATTGTGTATTTATCACATTTTTAATCATAAAATAAATTTTGATTAGTACTTGTTATACAAAATCATATTAAATAAGTCGTTTCTTTTATAATAATTTCGATCATTAGTTGTTATACTAGCTTCCGTCTATTTTAGCGACTATATATTCCCTAAAAAAATGTTGTAAATCTAAAAATCAATTTATTGTTTAAAGTGGAAATAGAAGGAAAGAATAAAGGAAAGGATGATGTTGCCAAAAGGAGTATTAGTTTTTACACGAAGACCTGGTTGTTTCGCTAAAATAGGAAGAAAAAGAAAAAAAGGAAAAGCCGCAGCTTTCTATTTGTGTCTGCGCGGTGGTCAGACTCAGCCTCAGCAGCAGCCTCTGATTTCCACCGTTGAGATTCATCTCTAATTTGATTCCATTTCATTTTTTTTCGTTCATTGCCTCAAAGCCATTCAAACCACCTCCACAATCTGATCCTTGTTATATCCAAAATCAGTTTTCCGATTCTTCTGTGTAAGTGTAGGTAGGTATTTGCATATTGAATATGTATGGTGTTAATGGTACTTCTTCGGATGCGATTTCCAGAGATATGAATTCTTTGTTGCATTCGTCTACCTTCAAGCATCCGGCCGACGGCGAGTTTGCCAAGATCAAACAGTTGATTTCATTGGATCCTTATCCAGATTACGATCAACAAACTCAAAGTCAAAATCAACAAGATGAGAATCAGAGCTCCTTATTGCGTTATCGCTCTTCTCCGAGCTCCTTCTTTTCGAATCTACTCAACGAGAACGGAGACGAGGAGTTTGCGGATCCTGTCACCGCCGCCTCGAATCACGAGCCGGAGGAAAGGTTCTTCAAGCAACAAAAGAAATCTGAATATGATTCACGTGAGTTCCTTGACTTTCTAGACTATGCGTCGCCCTCGTCAACGCCTATGAAGCAGGAAAGGAGAGAACCGTCGATTCAGAACCAGGATCTTCCACATCCGTCGTCAACGGCTGTGATGCACGGTAGCACTTCACGGCGACTGCCGGATTCCAGTAGTTATGACTACACAAATCAAAGTAATTTGGATTGTGCATCGACTTTCAGAGCTACGGATTCAACCAGTCCAAATCTCATCAGGCAGAATAGCACTCCAGCTGGATTTTTGTCCTCCTTGAATGTTGAAAATGGTAAACAATTGTTAATTTCATTCTTTATTTCAACTTGCAGTTGATTTATTATCTTAAAAAGTTCATATCAGTTTTAGCAATTGACATTTATTGGTAGTTGACTTTTTGCTAATGGTTGATAGACCCCAAATTTGTCATGATGTACGTATGATGATCTAACGAAGACTTCATCATATTTCTTGTTTAGAGCATTGATTTGTTGTAAGATCAATATCCAGAGTAAGAAGGTTAAGACACTATTGCTTTTGATCTTAAAACTCAGGTTTTACTGGCGTGAAAGATGTGAGAAAAGGCAGTTCATCAAGTGCTTCGAATAACCACATCAGTTTCTCATTAGGTCCATCTTCTTCATCAAGATTCTTGCCCCAAATAGCTGAAAACGAGAATGGGTTGCATGATTCCACATTCAATGGCTTGAAGAGGAGCAGAGATGGTGGTTTGAAGATATCACATTCACAGGTACATCTTGATTCTAATACGTTTATTATTCTTATTATTATTTTCTTTCTTATTTTTTGGAATTTTCATCACTCTGCTAATGCTTAAATTTCTTTATAGAATGGAGAGTCTGGAAACCATACTCCTAGTTTGCTTCACCATATGAGCTTACCAAAAACTTCCTCTGAGATGGCAGCTGCTGCTGAAAATTTCTTGCATTTCCAACAAGAATCATCGGTTCCTTGGAAAACACGAGCAAAAAGAGGATTTGCTACACACCCAAGAAGCATTGCAGAAAGGGTATGAAGATCTTTGTACTCTTGATGTTATCTTATTTTTTACTTCTATATTGATTTATCATGATTTGGGAATCAAATTTCAGATGAGAAGAACCCGAATAAGCGAAAGAATCAAAAGGTTACAAGAGCTTTTCCCTGATATGGACAAGGTAAAAAAAATGAACCTTAAATGTAAATTGACTAAATTCATGTTTTGAAAGTGAAATATTTTTTGTTTTAAACTGTTTTGCAGCAAACTAATACAGCAGATATGTTAGATATGGCTGTTGAGTACATTAAAGACCTTCAAAAAGAACTACAGGTATACTTTATACCAGGTTCACAGTTTGTTAGACCTCTCCAACTCATTACACCATTTTTTGCACCAAATTGAAAAAAACACCAATTATTCTCCAACTCATTACAACATTTTTATTGTGTTCTAAAGTATTATATATATGTTGTGTTTTAAAGTATTAAAAAGTACTAAATCTTTAAATAAGCTTGAAACATGAAAATTAAATATAATATACGTAATTAATCATAATATAATATCACAAGTAGCAAATATTAAATATAGAATATTATTATGCAAATAATAAACAAAAAATGAATAAATTCAAAGTTGAAGTATTAATTTGTACAAATTAAACTATAACACCTTATTTGATGTTAATGAATACATCGACATCATATTTGGTTGTATTATTCATGAACACCACATTTGGTGTTAGGTAATAATAACTTTACACCAATAATGATGCAAAAAAATGGGATATGGTGTTTGGTTGGAGACGTTACAAGGACAGACAAAACAAGTTGTAATTCGTTTAATATTATTAATATTAAACTGCTTTTGAATGCTCTCCCAAAAGGTGAGACAAGCACTCGCTATTGATCTCTTGTTTGTGAAAAGACGTGAATACTTTCCTCATGCAACATTAATGTTTCTACATTTTTCTTGTTCTCATGATTTTTCTTGTTTTGGGATTTTGTAGATTTTGAACGATGCTCGAGCAAGGTGCAAGTGCTCAAGTAAACAATTACAGTTAGGTTCGACCATGTAACTTGCTTTCGTGTATCAGTGGGTACCCATGAAAAGTCCTCACGTACTTGTATGATCGATCGCTAATTATGTTGTACATGATTTAGTTTATGTGAATTAGGCAAAAGACAGACAGTGTGCTTTAAATTTGAGGAATATTAGATCCAATATTTGGATGACCCAAAATGGATCAACATCTTTGTGAGAAAGTTGCTTTGATCAAAATTGTGGTCTTACTTTTGTTTTGTTGTTTTCTTTCTTCAATTCTCTTATTAGTTATATATCTTATTTTGTAAATTATACGAAAAAGTGTTAAAAAGAAACATGATATAGTGGGTGCAATAGATGTCGGGAAAATTGCCTCAAAGATGCAAAATAATCCTCTTAATTACAATAATAGAGAAAATAACAAGACACAATAATATACGTGGAAACTCTAAAATCGGAGAAAAATCACGGGTCTCTAGAAAGAAAGATCAACTATATGATAAATTGTTATAATCACATAGACTAATCTCTCAAGCCTCCCCAAAGATACAACTACACTCTCCAAAAGTGTTGGTTAACACTTTGAGAGAGTATAGTTGTATTTTTGGGGAGCCTTGAGAGGTTAGTCTATTTGATTTTAACAATTTATCATATAGTTGATCTTTCTCTCTGGAGGCCTGTGGTTTTTCTTCGGTTTTGGATATGAAAGACTTGGTACTTAAGCGTGTTTGTTGTGACCCACCTCTCTCATGCGAATCCTTTGTTGGCGTAATAATTATAGGCATTGTGTATATTTTTCTACTATACAATATTGTTTGGGGATACATATATTATGTCAAACTATAGTCCCAATGAGGTTCGATGTAGAGAAATTTGATGCAGGAACCAACTTTGGTTTATGGCAAGTTCAAGTCAACGATGCATTGATTTAATCTGGGTTAGACAAGGCATTGAAGGGGAAACCAATCCTTGTTTCTAGCGGTCATTCAAGAAAAACCAGTAAAGTCGATGAAGAAGAATGATAAGATTTGGATTTGAGAGCGGAAAGTGTGATTTGTTTGTCTCTAGCAAAGAATGTTCTTGCTGATGAGTTTTATAGGTTATTAAAATACATATGAAGCGAAAATCTTAACCCTTAAGTTCACATGCAACCTATAAAAGGATCTGTGTTTTCTCTAATTGATAACAATAAACTATGAACATCAAGATCCCTAATGGTAACCTGTTATAATCTAAATATACATAGGAATAGGGTTACATGTAACATCCCAAGATTTGTCATTTATAGTCCCTGGAGATAGAAGGGTGAGGCCATGAAAGTCTAAGGGCTAAATTGCAATTATTGGGATCAAGAGGAGTACGTTGAGCGTACTAGGCGCGCCCTAGTATGCTGGGCGTACTCATGGCAGAAGGAAACCCTAATATTTAGGGTTTGGGGACTATATAAGCAACATTATGAGCACAAGACCCCCCCCTTACCCCAACCTCCACTGCTTAGAGTCGTTTTCCCCAAACCCTAGCCATTTCCTTGTGTGTTTGAGCTTTTTGAGTGTT